TTCGATTAGTTCCAACTTTCACCGCTAGATGGACGCCAATTTTTTAGTCCATGAAATGGGCTATTTTTCTATTTTCTTTAATAATGGTCCGAGCAGGCTATAATTACATTCGTTCGATTCCTCAGGTCACAAGGAACAATTTGTATATTTCAGAATTTCGCAAAACTCCCTAGTTTTCGAGAAAATCGAGATTTTCTATTTTCGTAGTTCCAACTTTCGCCGCTAGATGGACGGCAAATTTTTAGTCCATGAAATGGGCTATTTTTCTAATTTCCTTAATAATGGTCCTAGCAGGCTATAATTAGATTCGTTGGATTTCGTAGGCGACAAGGAACAATTTGTATATCTCAGAATTTCGCAAAAGTCCCTAGTTTTCGAGAAAATCGAAATTTTAGATTTTCGTAGTTCCGCCGTTCGCCGCTAGATGGCGCCACCTGTACCGTTTTCGACCGAATTCGACAAAAATTGATTTCCTGGCTTTATTAGGCATCAAAACGCATCAAACCCTAATAGAAATTTGTTTCTAAATGCCTCAGGAACCATACTACGTCGCCAAGGTGCCGAAATATTGCACTTTGCATGTGCAATAGAATTGACATAGACGGTAATTGACATAGACGGCTCATGAACGTATCGGAATGCTGACACAAAATAATTAATTACTCATTACCCGAACATTATTTATGAACTTTTGTTATCGAACCATGTAAATAATGCATTGCTGACCATTCTTCAATCATAAAAGTGCACAAAATATATCCACAAAGCGTGTAATTAATTATTCAAAATGACCTCGTGTATACCGCTTCTCACCGTGGCTGGCCTTCGGTTATTAGTTAATAACTAATTAATTTCATTAAAAATCTGAACAAATATCGACTGTACATACATCATTCAGTACTGTAGGACATAAGAGTCTGTGGGTGTATACTTATCGACATTAAATATACCCTGTCTTGTATTTTATCTTATGCCGATAATATTGCATTCGATCAAAAATTATGTCTGTAAATCTATCTTATACCACGTCTGTGCTTGAACTTTCCAATCACATTCACGATGTGTCTTACCTCGAGTGCAGTTTCATATCTATACTGTTATATACTTGGTTTCATGTATGTTTAATCTAGAAGTGTCTCCTTTCAAAGGATTGCAAAGTATGAGTTGATATTCAGTATACAACGCGTGAAGGAGAAAGATATACGAATTTTTATTTAATAGTGCTTTTGGTAAGAAATGAGTGTGAAGGAAAGAGGTTTATTAGTTAGTGAGAGTACTTAAAGGAATAATGGATTTAAATGAATTAACACATAAGTTTATATGTTATATTTATGTCAGTATGTACTTAACAAAATATCATAATTGGCTAATGCAAACTTAGAAGTATTGTTTGCGCTCTTTGTTAGAGCCTATTAATTATAGTGAAGGTGCCATGAAGTAAAATCAAAGGATGATGATGGGCGATCAGTTTCGTAGCAAAGTGGAGCAGTATTCACCAAAATCATCACCCAGGGGTGCCCGTTCTCCTGTTGTTTCGCGTCAAGATTCAACAGGAACACTCAAAACGACCATTTCCCTGGGTAAAAACCCTTCTATCGTTCACAGTGGACCATTTTACTTGATGAAGGAACCCCCTGGTAATATTTCATTTCTGTATGAATCACTCTTATCAAATCTGTAGTAAACATTATCAATATATATACATATATACTTTTTTGATATCTTGTAGGAGAAAGCGAATTAACAGGGGCAACTAACTTAATGGCCTACTATGGCCTAGAACATTCTTATAGTAAATTTAGTGGAAAGAAATTAAAAGAGCAGCTTTCTTCATTTTTACCAAATTTACCTGGAATTATAGATAGACCTGGTCATGTGGATAATAGGTATATTCATAATTCATTGTTTATTATATTATTCACTGTACACAACATCTGGTAGTCATTGTTATAACTTTATTTTTCAGTTCTTTAAGATCTGTAATTGAAAAACCTCCGATAGGTGGAAAAGAACTGCTAGCATTGACGAGTGTTCAGTTAGCTGGTTTTCGTTTACATCCTGGACCTGTAAGTAGACAAAATTACTTTGTAAGAAAAAATTGTGTAATGTAGATTGCATAAATTAAAACTGAATATTTTTACAGTTACCAGAGCAGTATCGCTATGTTAATCAAGCTCCTCAAAGGAAACACAAAAATAAACATAAAAAACATAAGCACAAACCAGGAGAAGTGCCTACTGGTCAAGAAGCAACGTCAACAGATATTGGTGGTTCAGATACTCATGAGAAAAAGCATAAGAAACAAAAAAGACACGACGAGGAAAAAGAAGCTAGGAAAAAGCGTAAGAAAGAGAAAAAGAGGAAAAAACAAAAACATAGTCCTGAACATACTGGAGGATTAACACCCTCTCAACATTCCAATTCGTGATCTTCAATTTCCCCGTTTCTGTTTATATGTAACTTTTGATCTGATACCCAACTTTTGTAAACGCAATCAACCTATTCTTCCTTATTAATAATGTATGTACATACATACAGATAACTAAAATAGTTACGAGAACTATGTTCTTTATTACTACTATTTTCAGATGTGCATCATGCATGCTTTTTACGAAGTATAATTTTAGTCGATACCCGAGTATTAGTAATAAAATGTTTATTCGAATTTTATCATTGTTTAAAAGTAGAAAATTCTTTTTTACAGCTGTACATTATTAGTACATGCTATGAAATCAACAGTGTAATAATATATTTATGTTTCGCGTGTATACATCCAAGTTATATTCGTTAATAAGTTTTATAGCTCATTAAAAAATAATTTTCTTACAACTAATTGATCTTATTCGTTTAATTGCTAATTTTATTTGAAATTGCATAAATTAATAAGGGAGATGTAAAAATATCGTAATGTGTTACTAAGAGATAGACACGGATCATTAGGATAAATCCAATTATGTTACTGTCAGTGTAAATATTATGTATCAAAGACAGAAACAAATATCACTGCATAAAATATAAAATATAATTTGTATTTCTTATGAACATTTTGTTACAATTGTTAGAATGCAGTGAGATTTGTTTAAGACCAAAACCAAAATCATGGATTGTACTGAAAACTTAAAATAAGTGTAGCATTATGATACAAGAGTAATAAAAAAAGAACATGAAATTTAAGTCATTCGTCTCGTTATTCTATCGATAGTATAATAAACAGACAATATTTATAACTCCTTGACTCCTTACGAATGATTTTGAATTCAAATTTCAAAGTAGTACTACACTAATCAAGTGAAACTATGAAACGAAGCGCCATCTGTAAAAAATGACTTCCGCTCTTCGTTGTCGATATCCGGCGAGGAAACACTGAGTTCAACCATTGAACTGGAATCGCTCAGATTCGTCGTTGGAAAGTCGCACCATTCCCGCCATTACGTGCTTTTTCTGCCGTGTAGCAATTTGATTACCGGAGGAAGGCACGATGACGGACAGCCGTAAGTAAAAAACACTCGAAATTTTTATATTAAATAGTTTCATACATCTTCAAATAATAGAAAATTGATTTTTATCACGTTTAATAAACGTTTCTTAATAAGAAGTTTCTTAGGTAATATATACCATCGAACTTGAGCTATTGCCACGTTCGTAGCTTTTCTCTAATTGTGCTTAATTTGTAATTATTAATTTTAATTTGATTTCTTGAGAGATGCAAGGTAAGTGTTAAATAAAGATTGATACGTACAAAAATCGTAACATCGTTCTTTGCTACTATGGTACTCCGGGTAAATTTATTGATCGGCATTTCAAGTATCTCGTCCTACTTTATTTTTTAATTTCATTTTTATAATACTATTTCTACGTTTTATTATTTTGTTTAATTTTCTACATAACATTTTATTATTACACAAATTATTTCAGCCTTTTTTAGGCGTAATATCGATCAAAATAATATATAAAATTTTTTAACTGGATTTAAATATATGTTTTTTTTAACTGTTTTAGAATATTCAAATTACCAACAGCATGGGTACAATCAGTACAGCCAACCACCACCTTCTGGTGGTCAGGATACTTCGTATCCACCACCTTCTACCGGTGGTGGTGGCAGTTATAATCAATATAGTCAACCACCACCAAATAGTGGAAGCAATTATGGAAGTTACAACAGTTACAATTCCAGCAGTGGCCAAGACTACAATCAATCACAAAATCAAAACAGTTACAACCCGAACAGTTATGGTGGTGGAGGCGGCAGTTCTGGAAGTAATAGCGGCAGTGGCAGTTATGGTGGAAACTATGGGCATGGAGCAGGTGGAGGCGGTGGAGGATATAACCGTAATAGCTCCAGCGGAGGCTATGGTGGAGGTATATTAAATTCTTTAAGTTATTTATATTAAACTTAGTCTTTGTATAATAATTGTTTGTTTTTATGCAGGTCAAGGAGGTGGTGGTAGATACGGAGATCGTGGGGGATACAATGACCGCTCTGGTGGTGGCTATAAGTAAGTTCATTTCTTACATTATTTACATATACATACATGACGAAGCGAAAATGTTATAAGGCTAATAAAAGATTCAGTCATATAATGACAGTATTAACCAATGAAGAGGTAAATATGTCTATTGAAGTAATCATGGTATGATGAAATTCTTGACAGTTCTGAAAACTCTTGTTGTCTCTTTGCAAATGGTTTTATGCCCATTGGGTGTTAATATGTTTAAAGTGTGCCTACAGGTTTAACACACAGGTATAACTGGTAAAGGTAAAAACAGGTTGTATACGACAAATGACGTAAAATGGTTATAATGTGTGGTATATATTCTGATTTTACATTATTACAACAAGTAATAATACTATGCGCATAAGTAAAGGTTTTATATTGGTCATACCTGTAAAGCGGTATTTATAATGCCACTGGGGCCACTGTTGTCTCGATATCACTTAGGGTTATTGAAATCGACTAGACAATTAAAAGACGTTTCAAGAATTTTGCTAGATATTCCGATTATCTGTACGATTAAGTAATAACGCTAAGTTAGAATTTTCGTTGAATACACTGGTGCTATTTTATTATATTTTACTTGTTTTTTGCTGTAGGATCAACATGGTTATTCTTCTGGTATAATTAGTCATTTTTTTTAATCAGGATGTGTAATCAATTAGTAAATTTTTCAAACATAAATTCTATGTACAACCGATGGGAGTAGGATATTTTCTTTAGGATTGTCTCGATCAATTTGTTTCTTACTAGTAACAGTTGTATGAAGAACAATTTGTTCTGATACTTTCGGTAGTACCGCTCAAAGGTGCTGTATATGTATGTATGTAGGTAATTTCTGCATGCCGGACGTGACAGACTAACATGACGATACACGTGACTGCCTAGTATTAAGTAATATTATGACTACAGACATTTAGACAGTAGGTACATCAAGAAGAGAGGTGGCGAGCAGCATTTGATTCGCCATGCATCGATCGATCGATCAGTCTGTCCATGAGTCAACTCATTGGTATATCTGCTTCTGTGTTTTAGCAGTGGCGGTGGCCGTGGTGGTTATAACAAAGGTAAATGCACCAGACTGTCTGTACTAGTCTGGTGCTATTCAAGCTTTCACTCTAATATTTAAAATCTAAATACTCGGTTACTTGTATTATATGAAAGGGCTGCTATGTAACATTGTTAGGGGTATATTTTTTCTATGACAACTAACGTTTAACCAATGAAGTATAATGTAATTTAAAAAAGAAAGTAAATACAAAAATATTGCAGCTCTGTAGAAGCTGCTTTAATCACCAATTGCTTTTTCAACGAGTATACAATAATTTTGTTCGTATGTTACAAGTAATGATACTTTTTATTATCAACAAATATGAGCTTTGCTATTCAAATAATCGTTCATATTAAATACAGCCATGTAAGTGCGCTCGTAACATTTATCTAATATTCTGTATATACACTAAAACAGGAAACTTTATAAAAAGGTATATCATAACATGAACTGAACATATATGGTTCATTTGTTTTTTAAGTTGTTTACTATGCTCGTGAAAATATCTTCAAACATATACCCACGTGAACTTAAATATAAAAGGCAGCTGGTGAACTAAGTATCTATCCCTGGTCATTAATAAGGTTTCCCCAAAAATACAACATAGGGAAATGGTAAGAATCAAAATAATATCGCAGCCCTTTTGTATGTTAAGCTGCAACCTTGTGTTCTCTACATACTGTTATATGCTACTAAGAATATTAGGCCAATGAGTACTAATACTTTCATTAATGCACGGGTCAAACAGAAAAAGATATCGTTAAACAAATAATTTTATGCAATAAAGGTATTGTAAATCTTCTATGATAAAAATGTCACGAATCAACAAATCAAATTTGAAGCAATGTTAAGGAAAGGTGTCCACTTTTTAGTGGGTAAAATAACATTCATGTATTTATGGAAACTAACGCTAGTATCATGATAATTTAGTGTTTCTGAACGTACATGAATTAAAAAATTCTTATTGCGTACGAAAAGAAATTATTCTTGTTTGCAAAATGGTTATTAAAAGAGCAACTGTTATCACACTTTTATTGAAATGGTATTAGTAATTCCTTAAGAGCAAAGAGAAGCAAAGTATTTGCTCGTTACCGTTAAAGCAATGTCCGAAAGTATAGTGTTTAAGTTTAATTATGATTTCAAAATTATTTAACTCATCAAATAAATAGTGGGGAAAAAACTAAACTAAGTTTTGAGAAATTTGCAACATTTAATTATTCTTTAAAATATGTTATTAGTCGTCTTTAACCCAATACAAATTTTCCACTTGTTAGCTTAGTCTCGAGTAGGTTTAGGGACAGTAGATTTTGCAAGTATTATTCCTACTTCAAGGAATACCATTCTAGCAGAAGTATTAATTCTTATTACATTACAGGGGGCTACGGCGACCGTGGTGGTGGCAACGATGGAATGGTTACGCAAGAAGATACTATTTTTGTATCTGGTATGGATCCTTCAATCTCAGAAGAGGAAATTTGTCAACACTTTGGAGCTATTGGTATAATCAAAGTAAGTTACTTTATATTCGACATAATTGTATTATAGAAACAGCAACTTATACAATGTATTTTCAATTGTATCCAGCATGACAAACGAACCGGAAAACCCAAAGTATGGATGTACAAAGATAAGAACACAGGAAAATCAAAGGGTGAAGCTACTGTGACTTACGACGATCAGAATGCTGCACGTTCCGCGATAGACTGGTTCGACGGTAAAGAGTTCAAGGGACGTACTATAAAAGTACAAATTGCTCAACACAAGAGTAATTGGCAAGGTAGTCGTAGTGGCGGAAGTCGCGGAGGTGGTGGTAGTCGAGGTCGAGGTGGTTTCGGAAGTCGTGGAGGTGGTGGCGACAGAGATGATCATCACCGCGGAAGTGGTGATGACCGACGCGACGGAGGTGGCCGTGGAGGAGATTGGAGGTACTATTTTCTCTTTCTCTAAACTAAGGATTCCCAAACATTGATCAGCCAAAACTTAATTTTAAAATTATCATTTTTACTTTCAAAAATGATCATTAATTTCGACTGGAAGGTTGAGGCGCTCACGCTTTGGGAATCTGTAGCATCATTTGCTTAAAATAGTATATGTTTTTCATACCTTCGATGTTTACGCAGGTGTCCCAATCCAGAATGCGGCAACACAAACTTTGCTTGGAGAGATCAGTGTAATCTTTGTAAAAGTCTAAAACCAGAAGGTGCGGGTGGTGGTGGCGGAGGCGGTGGCGGTCGTGGTAGCCGAGGCGGTGATCGAGGTGGCCGAGGTGGTTTCAGAAGCGATAGAGGCGGTCGTGGCGGTGACAGGGGTGGCCGAGGAAGTTTTCGAGGCGGTGATAGGGGAGGACGAGGAGGTCGCGGTGGTCCAATGAGGGGAGGCGGCGGGTTAGTTTCCACATCTGCTACTTTATTTTTACCTATATCTAAAACATGCCTTTAACTTCAATCGATTTTCTGTATTTAATTTCAGACGTGGAGATCGAGACAGAGATCGTCAACGTCCTTATTAAATATATTGAGAAGTGATTAATAAATCACTTATTGACGTATTGTACACATTTTGTACACAATCTCGACGTATGTACATTTTCGCAACACAAAAATCATGTGTTACATTTCATTATCATCGATTTGTTTTCCCATACATTTTTTATATTCATCAAAATCGATGCGTGACGTATAATTTTTGTGTTTTATATACACATGTAAATGATGATCATACGTGTAAAGTTGCATTGTAATAAATAAGATTTCAGTCCTTTAATTCTAAATGTTGTATTTTTATTTCATATACTCGATAAAAATATATCCATTTATTTTAAAAACACTTAAAACGCTGGGAAATTTTGTTTATTGAAAGATAAAAATATAGTACAATAAATTTCTCTCTATATATGTATACATGTATATAAATCTAATAGGTAATTGAAAAAAAGTGACATCTAAGTAATTCAAAATAAATACAGTACGTTTTTATGACCAACGCAGATCTAAAAATTTCTTGATAATTGATAAGCTGTGTTATTTAAATTCATTGTATTATAGTAAATATATGTCTTACAATATGAATAGATTAGATGAAGACCTCTAGTTTATGGATTTACTTGAATGGTATGATACTTTACAATCTCCTCTTCCTCAATTTAATTTTTACGTTTACGCTGTTGTTTATTTAATTCCTGTAATAATTTTACATTAGAAATCTATGATAATATCATAGATAATATAATATCTACTGTTTCTTGGACTTACCTTCTGTGTGAGGATAATAATAAGATGATGGAAAATACTAATAAAATCTATGAAAAGATCAAAAGAATGCAGGATAAAGTCCTTGCTGCCCATGTGGTATTTTTCAATAATCAATTGTGTGTCATAAATTACAAAGCCACACATCAGGAATAATCCAACATATAAATGAACTTGATAAAACAAGGACCAACGTAGGAAGATATTGATAATTGAAAACAGAACCATAATATTTAGTAAGCTAATCAGGATACCACCAAGGTATAACCAACGACCTCGCTCAGCCAAAAGTGATGAAATAGAGAACGATACAAATACAACAGTTGTACCTGGAAAGTTAATAATATAAGCATTTAACAACAATACTATTAATCTGTACAAGGCATTTCCTAATATAGCCTTGTAATGGTATATTTATAGCTGGTTTACTAACTTACCTATGAGTGCAGTTACTACAATACTTGGATTAATACTTATAACCAAATGAAGTAAAGGACCTAATCCAAGCCCCGATAAAAATGCAAATCCCAAAAGGTAGCCAAGCCGCAATTTTTGATTTTTTCCATTGTCTGGTGTGCTGATTAAAGCAAAGAGGAGACCGAAAGTACCAAGAGTTGTTAATAAATTGGCATCCAGGAACTCTGTGTATAAATGAACATAAGCTCCTGCTGCAGCTGATAGAGTTGAAAAGGATAGACAACCATAAACATTCTTTAAGTGTTGTCTAACCGGGGATTCCCTATAATAAAAATTTGTATTATCTTTTGTGTACTTCACTGGCTTCATATTTATGAAGCATGGTTAAGTGTTTAGAGTATGTGGTATGTATCTTCACATATATCAAAGAATATAGATAAATCGGACATTTCGATTGGACGGTGAAAGAGGAGCAAATGACAGAAAGATATCAATATCGGACATGAGAACATGATTCTCAATGGAGAGTTCGTAAAAACAAACATATTGAATGTCGAAACTTTGTCAATTTAGTTTCAAGATCTGGTGGGGGCAACGACGGACGCTTAACCAGACTTTGCCGTGTGATGAGTTCACACAATTAAGATATTAAAAAAATATATAAGCGTGTAAAAGAAACATAAAAAACCGATGAACATTTGCGATATCTATTTACAAGTATATAAATGTCAAAACTCTTGATTATACTAGATACGTTTAGAACACGTCATAGAAACTATACTCGTAAATGAAAGTTTGACTGCATGAAATATTCAAATTAACAAAGTTCTGGAATCTACGTTTACGGTTGAAGGTCATTACACGTACAAATAACGTAGATAAAAAAGATGCATGTCACGATAAGTAATATTGTTTAATAGTGCGTAAAAAAAAGCCACTGATGACTTTTATAGAATAAGGCACTCCTGTAACGGCTTCGAAGTTACATCACAGCATATCATCGCCTATCAGAAATGAAGATGTGAAGGAAAATAAACTTTCGATAACGTTAGGCGAAAGAAAACGTAATTGACGTATTTACGTTTATGAACGGAATTGTCATTTTGATAAAAATTTTCATCATTGTAATCCAAGAGAAGTACTTACAGTCTGTTTGTAAAAGAGTTTACAAAATTGTTCAACACCGCCGCCATAATTGCGTTGCTTAAATTCACGAGTCGCACTGTAATTAACACAATCCGTTTACAGCAGTTGTTTTCGCCTTACGCGAAACGAGAATAATCATGAACCCTTGAAGTGGCTCGCCTTACCGTGGACACGTCAGTGATATTTCTGTGCGTAAATTTCGTCGACACTTCCGATTGGTCGACGTGCCTCTTGAAATTTTACGGAACGTCAGCTTTCACGTAACAATGACAGAAGATGAGCTTCTGCATGAAACAGAGGAAGATAAAGAAAAACTTTGGTTGATCACATTGACATCTGTAGGATAAAATTATAATCACAATCCTTTATGAAGTTACTAGGAGGATAAGTTATTTCTATGGGTACAAACAATTTGTCTTGAATAATAAAAATTTTATAAAACAAACTAACATTGTTTCCTTTCCACATAATATTTCATATCATTCACGAAAACTTCTGTCATGATACATAATTGAAAAATTGATATGCACGAATAATTTACATTACGGTAGCCATATTGTTTTCAAAACATAAACGAAAAAGTAATGTTTTGTGTAACTTTTTTATTTGTTATTTTTATGTAAAGAAAAATGAGCAATTAATTTGTAATTACTAAGGTGCTCGAATGTACTGTTAAAGATGCGAATGAAAGTTGTTTATCAATGATTGGAAATTTCAGAATAATTTATAAATAAATTGTTATCGTGAAGAAAACAAGTGATCATGAAAGAAATGTTGACTAATCAAACTAGTTCAGGATACAGTAATTCCTACGTTAATAATAATGGAGATACCAATAGCAGTAACGCTACTGACAGTAATGCAAGGAGATATGCAGTACTCAGTACAGATTGGATATCTGCAATTGGAGAAGAGTTAGGAATGCATTCTTTGCCGGATTCTTTATTGCGAAGACTCGCCGAGGATGCTTCGTATCGTCTTCGAGAAGTTCTACATGTATATTCAATTAACATTATCCTTGTCCTTATAGTTATAAGAAGATACATGCTTGACATAATAATACTAACTGTTTTAATTAACTTTTAGAAATGCGTAACAAGGTTGAAACATAGTAAACGAAAACGTTTAACATCTACAGATGTAAACGCCGTAATTACTAACTTATGTGATATAGATCCAATATTAGGTGCATCAGAATCGATGCCAGAATATCATACAGAAGCAAAAGTTTTTGTCCCTAATGAACGTATTATCAATTTGGTTCAGAAAATAAATGATCCCCTTAATATATCACAGAACAATGTACCTTTCATTCAAGGTATGTTTGTAGAGACTTGAAATAATACTATTTTCATAATTTCATTCACAATGTTTTATTTCTTATAGAATCAGAAATTTGTGATATAAGACTTACAGAAGCACGTAATAATTATGCAAAGAGAGCATTAAAAACTTTATTCAATGGATCCCAAAAGACTTTTCAGGTATGTTTAATAAATTACTGTAGGCAATATCTATCCTAGATATGATGTATATGTTTGTAGGTTTTAATTAATGATTGTGCTACCAATGCACATTTGGGTGGTGAAGGTGTTATAGACAAATTAATGTCAATTGCTAGATCTATGGTAATTTCAAATAATGCACAATATACAAGAGTTTCTACAAGAACATGTCAACTAATTATTGCCATTGCAAGTAACAGTGAAGCTGTATATCCGTATCATCTAACTTCGGTAATATTCTGCAGTAAGATCATGCAAATTTTGTCAACTATTTCTAGAAAAAATATTGTGATTCAGTATTTTAAATACTGCTTATTGCAGGTGGACAAATTGACTGAACTACTATTGGAATTACTTATTGGGCAAAGTTTCATAAATCCAAATCTTGAAACACTTTTTAAAGAATGCGCGCTTAAACTAATGCTTCGTTGGCCGTCTGTCGCTGATAAGTAAATAAAGATTGCATAATTAAGTTGTGTTTAATGAATGGGCTTTTAATACTAATTGCATTTATTGAAAGGTATATTCCAACATTAGAAAATGTGCTTTTGAAAGAAGAAAAAGAAAATGTAGATGGAAGCAAAAAGAAAATAATGGCCATGGAATTAATAGCAAGTATACAGCCATTAATATTTTTTCAACATGAACCACAGTCTCCACTTTCTATACATACCATTTTAAATTTTGCACCGCCGGGTTCTGCCCTTTGGCAAAAGATAGCTGTAAGTTATTTTCGTAACTTATTGCTTTATTAATATTGTAATTCATTATTAATGCATATTTGAATTGTAGCTTTCTGTCTGTGCTCTTATAAAGTCACAAGCACATATTTTAGACATTGAACTTTTTATGGAACACTATGGAGATTCTTTGTTACCTTATTTACCTATTGATTATAAAACTGTAATGAATGAACATAAGAAGTCCACATCTCTTCCTATTATTATTAAAAGTAAAATAAAATACGTGAATGTGAGACCTGTTATAAGTAACAGATTAATATGGGATCGACAGACGGCATTTCCCGATTCTACTTTGCGAGGCCCTAGACGAGAAATTAGGTAAGCAAGTAAATATATATGATCTTTATTAATTATAGATAAATATATTTTATACAAATACTTTCTGTTCTAATTCAACTGTAGATTTGCATTTGCTGGTGGACGTCCCGTACCTTCGAGTAATTTAAAACGAGTTAGTTTAAGAGCAAATTACCAAATTCTACGAAGCGAGCTACAAGCAACCCTCGCTCTGGTTGCATCACGAAGAATATTAATGCTTAAAGATAAAAGAAAAAAGTCTTTTGACACTTACAATCTGGTGTATGGTTATTTGTAAGGTTGTGTCATAAAATAGTGCTTTAAGAATATTGCGCATCTCGATATATAATTTAAATGACACTTTTTTACTTCGACGTTTAGATGGTTAATAGAAACAAAATTTTTAAAAATAATTTTGTCTTATTTCAAAGTATGTATAAATAGAATTTTAATATTTCCTCGTTGAAGCGAGAAAACACTTCGTGTTTTTATAGAAATATATGTATGTTACATGTAACTTCGTTATTTAAGACCTTACAGTAACAGGTATGCCTAATAATGTTCACTGTAAGTACAATAAGAAATATTTATTAAACAAGTGATAAGAGGAAGACTGATGTAATGACTAACCTCGGTAGAACGATTAATTCGTATTTTATTAAAGACAATCTTGTAATCCTTGTGGTAATTCATAATGTGGTAATATGTGTGAATTAGTTAAACAGGTAGGACGAGTATGAACCTTTACTGGTATCTGTAACAAACGTTTTTAATGATTCACCTTTATTTTTTAATATGATTGCAATTTTTAAATACTTACGTTAGCGAGTCGTCGTCGACTCAAGATTCTATTCTTATAGAAAAATCTAAATGATCCTATTTCCACCATATGAACCATATCATAATGCTTGGGATATTTTTGTTTGGCAGTATTAACAGCACATTTTCCATTTATTAAGGAAGAATGTAATACTTTGTGCTCATTCTGTTCTAATGAATTATTATTGGCATCGTAATTAATATCGGTATTGCTATCACACCTGTAAAGCTCTATGCAATATTTAAATTTAAAAAAAATTTTGCTGACATTTTACAGCTTTATTCTTAATGTCTCTCCATACCTTTTAATGTATACTTATGCTCTGTGAGAATAATATCATGTTGTAATTTTTCTTCTGTATTTTCGACGTCGACTTCTTGTTCACTTATTATTACACGTTCTGAAAGGTCTGTTACATTATTATCTTTAGGGGAATCTGAATTAGAAATAAACACATCATCATCTTCAGAGTTACTTGATTTGCTTAATTCATGATCAAGCATAATCTTAACGGATGTACATTTTTTATTCGTTTCGCATTCATCTTGAATTTGATCGTTAGTTGTCAAGTACTTTGAAATAACGAGTATATTTTTCTGTCCTATGAAACAAGAATTTTATTACCAAAGTATAAGCAAATAAAACCGAATGAGTACTTACTATGTTTTTGCCAAAACATTTGTATTTTATTGACACATTTTATGCGATAATTTCTTCTGTGAAATTCTAATTTAAGGAAGACGGATTCCGTTAAAAATATCAATTGTTTTCCAAAATGAACTAACGAGGATATTTCTCTTTGAGGTACAACTGATTCCAAAATCAGTTTACATTTATTGAGATCAGTAGTTTCTGTTGGTCGTTTAGAATATCGTTCACAAAACTTTTCATAATGCAGGCGAATAGGATATTTACATTTAGCTAGCGGCAGAATATCAAAAATACCAGTACTAGCTAATTGTTTTCGAAACTCTTTCCGGTCCCATTCAATATCTGTTAGTCGACTGTAAAGGTATTGTTAAACACAAAACTGTACTAACTCTCTTAAAAATCTTTTATAATCATATAAAAATATACTCTACTTGGGTTTAACACATCGCACATAATGTAAATCACATTTTCTTAATTCTTTGATAAGTGTATCTATGTTATATTTTAATTTAGCAAGCATCGTTCTTTTTCTACACGTTTTTATGGTATGCGAATATTGTTCCTCATCAATATTGATTAATGTACGAAGAAATTTATTGGTACTCGCATTAAAAATCATGGATATTTCGTTTGGAACCTATGAAAAATAACTGAACAATAAATCATGTTACCACTGGATTATACAATACAATACCTTATCAGTGTTTTTAGATAATAAATCATCAATGGAATATGCAACAGGACCTGAGTAATGGTCGATAATAAAATTTCCATCTTTTGCATCTAAAAACTTCTTTTGTCCATTATACAAATTTGAGCATGCTAATTGTATTATTTTAGAGATATTTATTGGTACAGGGGAGTGGCAGGCCTATAATATAATTTGGTATTAGTGAAGTGTTGGATGCTACATAAAAAAAATTTTATAACATACATCATTTAAAGTTAAAAACAATCCTTCTTCGATAACGTTTAAACGTTCTTTATATAAGTCAATAGTATGCAGAGGATTATTTTCTTTGATAAAACCTTCCTCTCCTAAATCTTTGCGACTACTTTCCACATAAGTTTCAATGAAATATTGCTGCATCTTTTCATTGGCATAATTAACACAAAGCTGTTCTATTCCATTTTTATCAAAGGACTCAAAACCAAATATATCCAGTACGCCTAAAACACGTGGACATGCCAACATTTTCGGTACATTTGTAATATAGAATTAAACAACATACCAAGCCACTGAAAGAATTCATGTTTTACACATAAGGCATTATTTGTATGATTCAAGATCCAGTGAAAAAGAAGTTCGTACATGTGTCTGATTATGCTGTGTAGTCTACTACGACATGCATCGACGGTAACGAGATACCGATGGTACGGGGTATGCTTCCTCCATGTACTCTGTGGATTTATAAGAATAGTTGTAAGCAGCTCTATCACTGCTTCCTCGGTTAAGGAACTCAGAGCACATGTACTTTTTAGAGCTTTCATGGATTCTAAAAATTGGATTTTATAAAATTCTTTGTTCCTCTTTTTATACATTTAGAAATTACTTACATACTTTTATCATTAATATCAATTGTGCAAGTTTCACCACTTTGAATAAATTTAATGTTTCCCATATGAAGTAATAAGGCAAGAACTTGAAAAATGTTTCTCTTTTGATCAGACGTGAAACCTAATATATCCAATGCCTTTGAAGTATCTTGGAAACTATTTTGAAAATATTTTATCTTATTGCAATCTACAGTGCTCAGTATATCATAACATTCGTCCGTGGACAAATTATAGGACTCAAGTTCTGTAGATGACATTCCAAACATCATCTGAAATGTATTTTTTATGATTTCCGATAAATATTTTTGTCTTATATAGAGGTGAATGATGTAAGATAAAATTCCAACCTGATAAAAAATTTGAAAATTATTTGAGCCTCTTGTTACCCTACTTCTCTCCAAAAGAAAGGAATTAATAGTTGCACCAGAAATGGTGCTACCTTTATAATGAAGGCAAACAAGTTGTCCGTGCCTTGAACTTACTTCATTTCTTTCAGTGCATGCAGTAGTAAATGCAGATATTAAACGACAAGCATCCATAATTCTTAACACGATATTATACGTGTAATCTCCTTGAAATGCTAACATTTCATTTTTGTTAATTCTACTAAGAAATTCTAGACACTTGCAAGCATTGAATGTTTTTCCTGTTCCCGTTGCACCGCTTATAATGATTACCTTAAGTCATGATGAAATGGTAAATTAAAAAATCAAGGGTTTTTTATATTTAATTTTCTACCTGGCAATTTCGCCCAAGTTCTCGAGTAAGACTGTAATGTGCTCTAGCGGCGACAGTATATATGTGAGGCACTCCAGAAACAGCTTCCGACGAGTTAAGATACTTATCAAATTCCGAGAGATTGTACAAATGCGACGTTGATATTTCATTATTAGGATTTATTGTTAAAAGTACCGAACCAATCCATGTGTAGATTTGACCATGCTGTAGTCTTTCCAAAAGAAAATCTATAACTGAAAAATGATATAATTTATAAGCATGGTTTTTCAATAAACTTATAAAATATAGTTAGAAGTAATTAAAGCATAATTTCATCTACAAACTATTAAATACATACTCATTTCTTCATTTTCTGGTAAAGCTGCTAAATCGTTGATCAGTTCCCAGTCGAACATTGAAATCGGTTGCTGAAATTTATGCAATGTTTAAATATGTAATACGAATAATCTTGTAAATTATTAACAAACCTCTATTTTTGTAGTCATATCTCTTCACGTTGTACAACTGTCACCAAGAATAAATGAAACAACGTTGACAAACATAAATATTTACATGTTCAAGGTCAAAAAATTCATGAGGATGTATCTGCCCGCATTTTTCAAAACACGAATACGTCGTCGATAAATCAACACAATGTTTTAAACTATAAAAACAATGAAGTTAGATATATCGAATGTTATTAATCTAGTATTACAAACAAATGAATTCATATGAACTTCTTTATTCAAGTACGTTATAAAATTATTTCACAATCTTATTTTTATGCGAGGAAAATGTTATTTTAGATTGTATCATAGTATTTTTAAACAAAATGATAAAAATATAAAGAGCATAAAAACTGATTCATTAAGGACACTTTTCTCCCATCGCCTGAAGGAATTTTTTATTGTCTTCGATAAGTTTTTCCAAGCGTTCCTTCGTGGCTGACGTCTGTCTCTGCGTAAGCTTGCGTTTCGCGGATTCAATTGCCACTCGATAGCCAGTGACGTTACGAAAAACTTTTATATGTCTATCACCAGCAACCAATATGTATTCTCCTACAGCATCAAAAGCTAGGCACATAATAGGACCTATAAACAGACAATGTAATTACATCTCAATTATAGAATAGGCTAAGGGAAAGGGGAAATAATACCTTGAAAAATATCTTCTATAGTATTGTCCAACAAGCCAGTAATTGTAGAATAAAAACTTAACGACGATCCATGAGCTATTGCTAGTACTTCAGTATTTGGAGACAGTGCAATGTTAGCTGTTGCTGCGTTTTCCCACAATCCAATTTGAAGTATACGTGGATCTTCTCCTTTCTTAAATTCAACTGTAAGGATATAATGTTAAATAAATTGAAATTATTTTGTAAAAACATCATTTTTTAGTTTATTACCATTTGTATTATATAGGCGGAAAGTTCCATCTTTCGATATAGTAGCCATCTGACTGCTATCAGCGCTAAATGTAAAATCAAGTATTCCAGATGTATGTCCACCCAAATCAAAAGCCTTGGCCACTTGCGTAAATTCTCCAGACTTACTGAATACTACTTCCCACACATTTAGATCCGGAACAAACCCTACAGAGCAAAATTTAACATAGTTGCAATGATTTTCACTTTATGTTATGGTAAGTTAAAAATATTTTTACCAGAAGTGCCAACAAAACGCCCACAAGGTGATATACGTGCTCTATACGTAGATCCAAGATGTAATTCTACAGTTGCAAGAACCTGACCTTTAAGATCCCATAATATAAGATCGTTTGCTTTGCTGCATGTAATAATGTATTTTCCTGTAAATGCAATATCCATCCCAACAACATCTTCAGTATGTTGCTAAAATATTAATAACAAGAAATGTAATATCGATGTATTAAAAATGTTTATAAGAGAGGAAAAAAAATTTATACTTTAGGGAATTCCAAGGCTTTTGTTGCAGAAGCCAAAGTGCCGTCTGGTTTCTTGGAAATTTTATACACTTCAATAGTGTTTGCTACAGCTTTATGTATGATGAAAGCTTTTCCATCAGGAGACCATCGTATCAATGTTGCATGATCAAATTCTATATTTATCCGTAGCGACCGTTTTTCTTTCACAGTAAGTTCTTTTGTACACCACAATAATACAGTTCTATCTGAAAAAAGAAAAAATTACAATTTACGATTATTGTATGTTTTTTTAGATACTTAGAATAATTATGACAAGGAAGGGGTATAATAAAGATACTTAAAATATATAAAAAACGCATAGTTATTATATAATTTCTTTATTGATTGAACAGTTTAAGTTCTCTTACGATTTTACATTAGTAAAATTATCATGATCAGATACAGTAACCTAGGTACATGTAGTTCATACTTCAAAACCGCTTAGCAGGTCGCAGTAAATACATTACTTACACCTATGTGGGTTTTTATTTGGCGGTGGCATTAGATTCATTTATAAATCTATCACGTTTAATATAATTTAGGAGAATTTCAGTCGTTATCGGTTTCCTGATACTTCTACATACAGATTCAGCTGTGTTCACAGAATTGGGAAATGATTTATCTGTTCTTTCACGCATAAAAACCCATTTACCATTTTCAACTTTACATTCTATAATTGCATTATCTAAACCCTTTATTTGTTTGGAGAAATCCATTTTACCATATGGCACATTTAATCCACCTACATATAGATGTCCAACTTTTTTTGGAACAATTCCTTCTCCAGATTCTGTAACTATTTTTAATTTAAAATCAACAGAATTAAGAGATAAAGGTTTCCACTTTAAAACTTTTGGAGAAATCCCAGGACAATATGGATCTTCAGCAGGTTGAAAAATTAAACCATCAGGTTCATGGCCAAGCTGTTTAGCAAATTTATCACTTAACAATGTACCAGCTTGTGTTACATCCCAAAAGGGTTTTAACCGTATTGAAAAAGGTTCTACTTCCTTTTGCAATCTTCCTTCTTTCATAGCTTTCTTTCTACCACCCATAATATACTGATCAATGATATCAAAACGTTGAGGGAAGAATGGTAATTTACTCACATCTTTACCATCATACATTATTACATCATAAACTAAATATCTTGGATACTCTTTACCGTATGCCTTGTCAATTACCATTTCCTGAAACAATAGAATTTTATGAAATCTTGCCATATAATATTAGCAATATATATGAATTCTTTAATAACAGTTACTTACACCGTCTAGCAGTGTATCCTTAAGGGTTCTAGATGTCTCTTTTGGATGTGGAAATGTCATTTTACTAGCTTGGAATACACTGTTATCTCTATCTACAAAATAAACTTCTCCATCCTCTTGTATAAACATCATATACCTAGATAAACACAATATGTTTTAAACCTGTTTTAAGTATTTTAACTACATTTCCACCTAACCTTGTTCCATCTGCTTTCCACGATACCATGTAAGGTTTTTCATGCAATAATGCAATATTACTTTCATCCATCGAAACAGGTTGAGAACCTGGGAATCCAGTCGTTGCCCAACTACATATTTTTTGAACACGTTTTTGTACTCTACGCAATTTCGCATTATCCGAAACAACAGTTACACCAGGAACACCAGCCATAAATATTGGGTTCTTGTTATTAAATTCAGTCCTTCTTCTCTTACTAGGGCCTTGTTGTTCATCAGGGGCATCGTGTGTAAGAGAATCATCGTATTCCAAACACCAAGCTGGTCTAGCTGGAGGATCAGGAGCATCTTCTACATCGTCATATCGTCTAAACAACTCTTGAATGTAATCAGCTTTATATATTCCTGGTGGTCTCGCGGTAGAAAATTCTGCTAAAGCAGCATCAACACTACTGCCATCAGTTTCTACCAGATAACTGACTATAAGGAAACCAGTTCTATTGAAACCATGTGTACAATGGACACCAATGATTTCCAATGGATTATGCGATATGAAATTTTTACAAACTTGTATAAAAGTTTTTGTTTGTTCTTTCGAAGGTGTTTCACCATGTCCTCTGCATTGTAATTTCAAATATTTACAACCATACGATTCTAAGCTCTTTTTGTCATAGAATCTTGAAGTATTTGTCAGATCGATCCATAGGCCTAATTTTAATCTTTGACTTTTTAAGGAAGCAAGTAGCATATCCACTGTAAAACGACATTCTTCTGGCACTTGGTTATCAAATGCAGATGATAGTGGTGTCTTAAACGCAAGAAACTTATTCTGAATTAAATTGACTGCTTTTCGTGGACAGTGCAACCATCGTGCTGGAACAGGACCATTGCTTTCAGTCCAATTTGACATTTTAACAAATCCTTATCTCTGAAAACTGGCGAACTCTCTAATACACTATCTTCATAAAGTTAACATGTCTAAAAATATAAAGAATGCAGCATTACAATCCATATCCTCGGAAGCACTTACAATTGTTTCTTCTCTCAACGTAAAAAACGAATTTTTTTTAATCATTAATTGGCGTTAGTGATTAAACAAAGTATTTATTGTATAAAATAAACAATAAAATGCACAAGTTTCACATTTATTTATACACTAACGTGACAAAACAGCTGTTGCTAGCGTCTATTGATCGCCATTACATACTTTCACAATTTCGACTTTCTGCAAACTTCTCGATACATCGAGCCATCGAGCGCTCGAATCGATGCTCGAAACAGTCGATTCGGTTTTTAAAAATTTGAATCTTCACATACCCGTATTTCAGCATCGTTAATTACTGTAAATAAAAAATAATCAAGCGAAAATTATTATTTTACCGTGGTATTATTCCCTACATCCATAATTACGATTAAAAAAATAATTCACGTTCATTTTAACGTAGAAACAAAGAGCAAGGTGAGCTTGTTAAAATAGAGAATGAAATAATGTTTGTAGAAAAGAAATAATTCGTCCTTGACGCTCCTCGTATCACCGACTTCATGGTCAAATAATTTCTTGTACATTAGTCTTGTAAGAAGTTATGTCCTCAAAATGATGTCAACGAAAAATGAGTTATTTATAAATTAAGCTCCAAATTAAATTTCTTTGCGCCTGTATTTTTTCTTGCCTTTTAGTTTTGGGAAAGCATATAAGGAAACATAGAGCATCGATGCACGAAACAGAAATCGAGCGTCGCTTTCTCGAACAGTTAAAATATAATTGCCGAGATCGTACAAACGGAAAAACAGATCGGTTTGGCGCTAGTCGGAGAAAGCGTGACTGGGGTGAACGAGAGTAGCACATTGCAATAAAGCGATACCCGACATTAATATTCGAGTTACTAAATATAAATCGTTTCCTTGTAATTCACACTTGCTTTGCAATACACATAGATTTTTATCATGGAAATACTTTAAAAACATGATATTCCGAGTATATTCTTTTAACTTTGGTTTTTAATTCAGCCACGGTTGTTCTTAGAACACGTTCGCTTCTTTATTTCTCGTAAAGTCACATTTACCATTGACGTTCGATAATGGAGCAATATCGACACGGAATGGTGTCGATGGTGAAACATGAACTCTTATGTCAATGATCTCGAAGATCTCGATTATCGTAATGGTCACTGCGTCGATAAAAATCGAGACAACGACTGACGTTCGACCGCGATAAACACGTATTTTGATAATACCCTGGCATTTAAACACGAAAATATTTGTAAGATATGCACGAATTTTTTAGTTGGCAAACGGATAAACGTGAAAAAGCCCGGTATATCAGTTGATCGATAATATATGGAGCCAGAAATTGACGTAACGATGAACACTGCATGTCGCAATCGGCAAACGACGTGAGCCACGTTCGTGTCTTCCGTTTGATTTCTCAATCGACAATAGCCTAACCTACCTCCGGAATATTTAATGCTCTCGTGTTTCTAGGCAGCCTATCGCTAGCGCAGTTTTTTCTATTGGTCATCAGCAAAAATTCACCGTCCTTTCGCGACTTTGTTCTCCTACATTCGCCATCGTGGCATGAAATACAAGTGGACGTTTCAGCGCCGCCAAGACTCGTTGAAACTTTAAAAAGAAGTAGGACATCTATCGTAACTGTTCTGTCAACAACAAGCAATTACCTATGGTGTGCAAATCTCTTTAAATTTCACTAACACGATGCACCGCAGAATACTTATTATTTCCTGAAAAGGTCTTTGCAGAGGATAAAAACTTATCTTTCATGATCCATCTGACACACGATCGATCACGGATAAAATGGAAACAAAGCATTTAACCCCCCGAACTTAACCTCGTAAAACGTAATCGTTAGTTTTCGCAAGCGAATAAAGTAAGGTTAACAGCTAGGTTAGTATTTGTAATCGATACAATTGATTTCATTTTCTTTTTTTCTCAGCCAGACGAAGGAGAAATTTTTCAAGAAAGTAGATAAAATCGTGCTAAATGATGAATCACGCGATCGGTGTCTCACGAGCGAGCTCGTCGAACTGGATAACAGTGTTATTCAGCCAATAAGAAATATTAAGTGGCTCGGAAAATTGAACGATGCCTTGCAATTAGAATGTTCATCAAGATGTAAGTAAAATGCTCGTCCGCTATCATATAATTACATTGCTCAGAAGAACCACATTTCAGTCATCGAAGAAAATTATAAGGATGTAGAAGGATGATTTGCCTTCAATTTTAGGGAATCTACGTAAACTTTCCCTAGAGAAACCACGTTTGCCACTATGCATAGAACTCGTTCCGCGCATGCGCGTAGCCCCCGAAAGAGGGGTCACGTTTTCGAATCTTTCAACGATGATGCACGTCGTTTTCAAGAAGCAATGATAAAATCGATACAGCTAATAAACATTGGTGCAGGAAACATGTATCGTATTACGTCAAAGATGTTTTGTTGGCCCACAAAATACCGCAAGAGATATCAATTGCTGTAAACTAACCACCGTTATCTCGACGATTATTATTCGTCCTGTTATTCTTCACTTACTTCCGATGTTGTTTCCACGGTTACGATCGCGGTTTTTATAGCATTATCGAATCGTCTTTATTGCATTTTTTAATTGTACGTTACGTATACTCGAGTTATCAGCTAACTATCTTCTTGCAAACTACACAATTAAGTAAATAATGTTACTATTATTTTTATCGTCGATTCTCGAGTTTCAAGATAAGTGAAAAATCATTGGAATTTTCAGATGTATGGAAATTTGAAAATTTGTTGAGGAGGGTAGCAGTGGGGTTATGCCGCCACTTTCCCTATATTTTGCTATTGACTGTACATCAAACTGCGAGTAGAAGAGGGCCACGATTTCCAAGATAGAGTTGCGAGCAACGGAGGTGGAGAAAGTTCCTGTCCTCCCTGGCGTCTCCGCGCCTCCTGTTCGTTTCTACCATAGGAAACACTTCCTCGAGACCCGCCAGGTACCCACGCGCCTTATCCGAAGAAAGAAAGTTGTTGCGCTGCACGAAACCTGGAGATTTTCTCCTTGCAACATGCTCCTATCTCTTTGGCCGACATGCCCTGGTTAAAACAGCATCCTCTCTGTTCCTCGTCGAACTAGCTCGACCGTCTGGACGATCCGTGCAAAGATTATTATTTAACGGCCACGGATGATCTCGACTCTGTCGTTGTAAAGATTTTGATCAGAACCTTGAGGTTCCAGCGAAATAACCGAAGGTGTTCCTCCTTGGACAAATAAACGAGTCAGCAGCTCGTAATCGCTACTATATTTAATACGTAGCGTTTCATCAAGGATTCGGAGAACTGCAAACAGTAGCTTCGCTGGTCAGGTAGATCGAAGATGTCGCTTGAATCTTTACCAATTCCGATCACGATTTATCCGCACAATTCAGGCTGCATCGTAATTGCGACTGTAAATCGTGTTGTTTGCTTTGTTCTTTAATTGTATTATAACGGATTGAACTATTACAATGTCGCGAAATGGTCGATACGAGACATAAGCTGACGAAAGCAGATATCGAGTACGTTATTACCTTAGTCTATAGAGCGTATGGCATTAGAAAGATAAGTTAGCCGATAATAAACCTTAATGGAGACTAAAGGAGAATTGATGTATCTTTACACTCGCACGATCGAAGAAAAAAACACCGAAAAAGAATGTCTATAACCATAACGGTACGGATTCAGCGATCTCGAAGTGTCCTCGACAGACGAAAAAAGTCAGGAATGTAAGATCATCGTCCAGAAGAAGACCGAGCTAGCGTTATCTCTCGCTCGTATTTTGAAGTCGGCCTTTAGACAGTTTCTAACGTTATTCGCGTGTTAAATCTCGGTCCCTGGTCGATCGACCAGCCGATCGTTCACCTCGAATAATCCGTTTCTTCGAGGTAGAATCGTCAGGTTCAACAACCCGGCTTTGTACATCGTGCCTGTTAATAAAGAGCGGCATCAACGTAGCTATCGTGGGCATATATCAAAGAGGCAACGCCTCCGAAAAACGTCCCTGACCCGCGTAAAAACCTTCTTACTGTCCACCTCGAGAACATCGGAGAAACATTCGTTTCACTCCCCTCCCGTCTTTACACGTTCGTTATACCATAAATTTGTCCGATGTTTCAGTGACACCAACGTGTCCGAGAGCCTCTGCTACACGACGAACTCGAGTTTTATTTAAAACCAAGGACTTTGGGATTTCGTGCGGAGTCAAGCATCGGCTGAACATCGTGCAGCTTAACAATCGGTGCACGATTAGTTTAAACACCAAGGAAATAGAGAATTATTTATTTAAACTTTCTCTGTACTCCAGTATTTTATAAGGTACCTGAGTTATAAATTATTAAAGATGCAAGAACATTAAGAATCTAGGAGTATAGGAACGTAGATTCAGTTCATTTAGTTGAACATATTAGAGATCAGGTTAATTCACACTATTCGTACCTGACTTTTCTAAATCCTTATTTAACTACGAATCTAGTTACTTGTTAATTCGAAATGAACTTGTATAATAGTCTAATGATTTCTTTTCTGCCAACAGCCCCGGAAGTCCTTCACACCGGCTAATCGAGGGGAATCTTAATAGAGTCGGTGGACCTTGAAATTTCGATCCCACAGAACGGGTTATGGAAAGCTTGGAATTTGAGTGGACGAAGGGAGAATCAGTGGAGGATTTTAAGGGATTTTACGCAAGAAGAAGTAATAATAGATGGATTGCGTAACGATTGCGTAGAACGCGCGCGACTTCGCGTTGTGCTTTAAAATCATTCGATAATCGAAACGACAAATACACAGCTTCTCGTCACAGAAGTGGTCAAGACGTCGTTGCGGAGATTCATGAGGAAATTTCGTAAGAACGTGTCCACAGAGACTAGGCTATCGGCGTTTTCCATGCAGATAACCAGCAGGGCGTCTTTTCTCGTACTCGCTCAAGGACCATTCGATACGCGTGCTGCCGTGATAACGAAACGAGTAGGGAATAATTACGTTTTATACAACTTGTTCCCTGTTCGAACTTTTAGCCAGGAGCGTTTCGATAGTATTGATCACATTTACCGTCTGTGTCTGCATGACGCGCCGTGTACGTCGAACTTTGACTATCGCACCTGTGTAAATTACGTGCATTACTGCAGCTTTTGATTTTGCTGGTTAAAAGTGGCCTTAAAGCTGTCGTAAGCGGAGACAAATTGGTTAGACATAAAATTGTGAAGCGTTATATTAAAGCGTTTACTGAAAATGCCTGTAGAAGACTAGCAACGTTTTTCGTATAAAATTATCGATTGTTAGATAACCCTCTTACTTTCTCTTCGCCGCAAGACAAATGAATTTGGAAAACAGAAGTTCTGCTTAGCATCAAACAAGTTTACGTACGCGATAAAAATATGGATGGATCTTTTCAATGTCATGAAATAGAAGAGAAGATAATCTTAAATATTCATGTTGCAATAAAAAACGAATGTTATTATGTTCCGGGAGATCCGCGGAATCTTATCAGTCAATCTTTAAGACATTTTGAGAAAGAAAATACGCGTTAAATACTGTTGTTCGAGAAAGAGCTGTTTATCGAAGGTAACGAGTTACGAAATGCCACTGAAAGCGAGAACCATTTCGATTTAAACTTGCTAATAATTAAAGCTGATAATTAAGGCTGACGAGCATAAGAAATAGACGCAGAAGAAATCTCGCCTGTGCAGCATTTGAATATACGTAACGTTAGCAAATAGTCGTAGAATTTTCTATCGAGAGCTCAATTAAACAGCAAATACGTAGTTGGTCGACGCATAAAAATTTCAAGCCATAATATACCACAATAATAAAGAGCTAAATAAAATTGTAAAGTGTTGAAATATGAAACACTAAAATGAAATGTTTTGGGACCGATAGGTAAGTCCTGTAGGACTTGGAACATTGTCGTTTTACGATGTTTGTGACGATATGTATTAGGCCCCGCTATAACTTCGCTTATCTTGTGATAATAGTTACTGTTGTCGCCGAGGAGAAAAAGAGGAATATATCGACGTGGAAGATCATAAAAGCGGAATTTATTCGCGACTGTAAACCGATCTTAACAAAATATATTTTATTGTATTTTTTTGCCTTATCAAGCGAGGATCTTTCATGTTATGATAATTGATTGCGAGGTATTGTGAGACCGTCAGCCTCTCGTTCGAACGTGTTAATAAGTACAAGTTAATTTATGAACCACTCGAAATAATTAGTAGACATTATCATTCGGTGTACCGTTTAAATATTTGAGGAACCTCGTATGCCGTTTAAGTTATCGAACGTAACTCTCTTATCTCTTCGATGTTTGTCTTCGTGAATTATCTAAAGGTGGAATTCTCTAATTATTTTAGCGATGCATCTGCTCGAACAGGTAAATGGAAAATACTACTGCGTTTCAAAGAATGAGAATTAATTCGAATAACCGGAGGATCATCCACCTACAAAAAGTCACTCATTTCTTTTTTCACACAAAAACCGGGCGAAAAAGATCGTAATAAAACTGAGACTTTGGTCTCCAAAATAAATTCACTGTTTAAAGTAAATCGGTCGGGTGCTTTTTAGATGTTTTGGTCACACGGTATTAAAAATGTGGTTTTGCAAAAAAACCTGTTTAATGTTTCTGGGGAAACACGAAATTTCGTCAATATTTATATTATGTCGTATTTTAAGAAAATGATTTCTAGAAAGCCGTTCCTTTAAGCGATGATTAATTGCGAAGACTCGAAGAAAAATTTATCAATTAATTTGTGTAATCACTTGATGTATTCTCGGAGCAATAATGACGCTTGTCGGAAACGCGTTTACGTATTACGTACGTGCTGCGATAACGACTCGTAACTGTACTTTGTGGAAGATTATATGTCCACGTTCAACGAAGATCAGCGCTTTCCCTTTGTACGCAAATCCGGTTATGGTGTTTTTTTTAACACTGGTTATATAGTCAACTAGGAAGAGTTCGACCCGCGTACGGGAAAAGCCTTCCATCCAGGGAAGAAGTTTCTAAGTGAAATATCACTTTTCTATCTCGTATATCCAAGCGTACTGACACGATTTCATAACACTGTATCTTGAACTGGCACTTACATAAATTTAAAGCTCGAACTTTCAGAAAACTCGAAGATCAGCTACAACAATGACTGATTTCGAAACTATTATAGCACTTCAGCTACAAAGTTTAAAGTTTAATGGCTGTATAAACAAACTTTGAAATTATAATTTTAGAGTGTGCGGATAGTTGCTAATGGACACTAAGTTGCGAATGGATTATTTTACAATGAAAATATTTTTCGTCGAAGCTTAAGCTTCACATTGTGAAATAAGTATTTCATATGATTGAAATTTTGTCAGACTTTCTATGTTTCGAAATCAGTAATCTAATGGTGTGAAGTTTGTCAGGATTTCAAAAGAAGAAGATAATTTTTACAAATTCTGTCATTTAATTTCTTCACATAGTTATTTACATAGGAAATCGCTCCTTAAAATTATTGTACAGCTCGTAAAAGAGGAAAATCAACATTTGTTTCGTTACAATTTCTTCCTTCTAAGATAACAGGAACAGATACTGGCGATCGTGAAGGCTCGCGTTTACAATGTTAACACGGTCACCTTGACACTGAATCGAAAACCGAAAATTTCGAGTTTGATAGCCTGCACGAACAAGCGATTCCCAGATAACGAAAACAGCTGTTCGATGAAAAAGAGCACCGTGTTTAAGCAGTGATATACATAGTACGCATCTTTATCATAAATCCCAAAAGAACGAACACGCAGTCGCTCAACAAATATTTACCTTTCGTTCCCCATTGAATCATAACATCTCAAAAGTTCCAAATTTCTTTTCCTAAAAATTTATTGCTAATTAGATAACAGCTTCGATAACAAGTACTTCTGGTACACACTTGATTTTTGCTTCGAAAGAAACTTTATTGCTAGAGCAATCCTCGACAGATTCTCAAGGTATAAGCTCTCATTTTGCTTCATTAATAGTCGCGAATTTTCGAGGAGAAGAGAAAGGATGAAATTGCGGAAGAAAGCCGAGATCTCCCCGGAACGAAATGATGTAACGATTGACCTTTGCGTTCGATGGGACTATGAGATGTAACCATATCGCGAGGAATACGAGACGGGTTCAAACTTTCTTCGAGGCTTTCGTGAAAGCTCGTGGGTGGTGCTAAAACTGGTGTGTCTCGCGACGTTCTCTTTTGAATGCTTGTACCTTTTCACAAATCGAGACTTTCTATAATTTCAAGAACCCTTTGCACTCTGGATTATTAAAATTTTGACTCGATACTTAGCGAAGTATTTCCAGGACGGAATAAAAGTTTCACGAAATTCTTTGCCAATAATTGTCGAGAACCGGCTAACGCGGAAATGGTACGAAGGCTGTGATTATGCTCGCGAGCGGCAATTATGTCCTCCGATTAGCGGACTTGAACGTTATAATTACGATTAAATTTTCCGTTTATCACGATACCGATTTTTCGAAGATTAATAAACTACAGCGAATACGAGGCATCTAACCTACGATTACCCTAAGGCAGTATGAGATATTGCTTTTCTTTTCCATCACCAAACCTAATAACCCACGGCAATATAGCGAGATCTCGCCGATTCTCATTCAATAATTTCCGTGCGACCTCTGACCACGTGTAACCTTAAACCGGGTTATATTCCTATCATGATTTACTAGCACCAGTTATACTGGTCAATTAAACTGGTCGGATGATATTAGTCTACTTTCTTAGGCTAAAGCTCGGTTTAAAGAGGTAACCAGTTATACTGGTCAATTAGTTCGTCTGGTTAGTCTACTTTCGCAGGTTCTGCAATTTAGAACAAGTACTTTCCCGTTCGTACTGGGTTTTAGGACACGGGTTACAGGGAAATTGACTCATTATTATATTAATGAAGAGTGTTAGGTGGTAAACCTTTAAAATATTGGACTCTTAGAGAGACAAGAAGCATTCAGAATTGACACTAAACCTACCGACGTATGTGTACTTAATTTGAAGTTAAAAAATAAATAAACAAGCAAACATAAATTTATTCTTTATCTTGATGGAAATCAATGCTGATTTTAAAGAATGTACTTTAACAAAATGTGTTCCTTACAATAAGAAATTTATGGAGCGGTCATTTGGTAGTTTTAGTGTTAACATTGTTCAAGTTCTATTCCAAACTTCTATTCTATACGAATACAAGATTGAACGTGGCTTCTTCAGTGCCTAAGAGCATCATGGCGGACATAGAATTAAAACAAATGGACAAGCAGTGGAAATTTTGGCAGTGACAAACTACGATCCTCATCACCGAAGCAGCACAAATCGAAGCTCGATTGTTACTCGTGGCAGTCGATACGTATTAGAAGGCTTTGCGATTATGTCGAAAGAAAATAGAGACGTCTACCTGACGAAGTGCAACTGTATCGACAAAACGAGGGCGATGCAGTCATCGACAAAGTTGCCATCGAGGCACAAACGAATTACGATTCCAATGATACGCCCTTGTCCCGGCTCCTCATCCCGAACGATGGATTCAAGAAACGATCGCCGCGATTCGGTCTTCTATTCATCGATCATGCGAGGTTAAATCTTACGTAACCACAGTGCTTTCGAACGACGGAAATAAACGTTTGGAAAGTTTCGACTTAGCTAAACTATTAAGGTTTATTCCTTGCGATTGCTTCGTTACTTTGGATCTTCTACATTGTTAAATGTTAAATATCTAAATTTTCGTTGTACTTATTGCTTTATTGGGGAGGGTCTCGGACTTACGAGTGTAACGACGAGGGCTAATAAAGATTATAGCCTTTTATTGCAGGGTGTAATCTTACTCCGTATAAATCTAACTCGGCCGATTTGCATATATTTGGAAGTCGACGACCGAATCAACGAAATGTAACCAAAAGCTTATACAAACCTCGGTTTAACCAAATTTGCATATATTTGAGAGTCAATGACCGCATCATCGAGATTTAACCTAAAACCTTATCGAATCCCACTGAAAACTGAACGTGCTGGGTCAACTAGGCAAACTTGAAAGCCAACCCTTTTTCGAATCTAATTGAAATTTAACCAGATGGGTAGACAGAACCCTTTTTAAATTTTCGAAACTGACTATAATTTAACCAGATGTAAAATACCTTAGGTAATTAATTACCGAAGCGAATGTAATTACCTTTAAATTCGAGTGGAATTAAGCAAAAAGTTGGACTAATAGCCTTCTTACGATATCTTAGCAATTCAATTAGCAGGCGTAAGAACAATTACAGAGCGCAAAGGGTTAATCTCCGCATTAACACAATACGCTTTCATGCTCGGATCGGAAACAAAGGCAAAAGAAAAAATAAGAAAAAATATGGAGGAGGAGACGAGACAAGAACAAGAGAGTTCATTATATGCTTCAGACTCTGTCGCAGTATTTCCATTGTTTCCTCTCAGGGACACGTCCTGGACTCACGGGGATTCAACGATGGCCTCTTTTATTGTTTTCTTTTTTCGTACGTCCCATTGTAACGACGTCTTTCTCGTAAGTCACGAATAATAATAAGAATAAGACGGGGATGATTTCTCTTTCATGACTTCGATAAATTCATGAATTTCATCCGGGAACGCGCGCGGATTTAAACAAGATCGTTTCAAGGCTGGATGATTCATCAAGAAACCATCATTCCGACGCAATCTTTCTGAAAAAGGAACGAGATCCTCTACCGGCGATAACGTAGGAAAAATTTCTCAATAAGCAAGGGAGATCTCGTCGACCATATTGAAATGCATAAGTTGATCGTTCCGCAAGATGTACGACGATATTTTGAAAGTGACTTCGCTTGGAAACGTTCGAAGAGAGAGAAAAAAAGAAACGAAAAGAAGTGGGTGTATCTTTTCAACAATGATTCATGGATCGAATTTATTCGCACCAAACAATTCTGGTATCTTAAAAACGTAGATCGTATATTTTTTGGTAGCAAAAGTTTCCTTGTATAAATTACATTGCTTAAATAGCGTAAATCGTTCGATGTTTGATCGTTTTAATTTCGATTCGCATACGTCTTCTGGGTTTTCCTCAATGATCTTCGATTACGAATGCAGCGGAAAATGGATTGCGAACAGACCCTTCACAGCACAATTTCAAAGGAACGTTCTTCGAGGATGCCACCAGGTACATACTTCCGTTTTTCGCTAGTCGCTCAAATAAATAGTGCGCTTATTTACAAAGCGATGATTTAACACAGTAGAACGTCGATTACACATATCTCTTCATGAAAACCGTAAGCATTTTACGATCCTTCAAGGTTGAGAAACTCGCTTCCAAAATACTTACAATTTTCAGTCACATTAATTACAAAGTAAAAGGTAATTTTACAAAGTTCACCGTACAAAAAATTTGTGTCAAGGTCATGATTCCATGATCGGTAACTAATCGAGGTACCACTGTATTGCTTTCGAGTGTGAATTACAAAAGACGTGTCGAAAAAAGTATCTGAACACGGGAGATGGATATATGTACAGGATGCAGACAATATTTATGGTGACGTTAACGCGTTGATCGCATAGATGAACTGATATGCTTTCCTCAAAGTAAGTCGAAAGCGATCAGCGCGTTAAAATAAAAAATGAAAAAGCGGCGGGTAAGATTAAGTAAAAGAGTTGGCGAACACACGACCCGAGGATTATTTTTACCACGGGAACCTAGTTCCCCGGGTCGGTATACAAAATGTTGAATACTTATGACCGCGTGCACGGTATCACATTGTGTATCGATACAGGCTGTTCAAAACAGGTTGCACAACTTATCCATGATTCACAGAACTTCTTGAGGCTTGGAAGTTACTATAGTTCTAATGTCAGATATCCTACACGGTCTTCATAAGAATCCACATGTGTGGCGAATATTTGTAAGTGACAATTAAAGAGGTTTGTAACCAACAACAAAATGCGTTTGAGCAAAGTAGCAACGTTTGAACAGCCTATATCGCAAAGGGGCACACAGGGTTCGCTAATGTCGCAATAAACATTGTATATAAAATCACGGAACATTATGTGTGTGATTTTGAGCGTGAGTCGAAATCGGGCACGTGGTTCTCAGGCTCGATCCGCTTATGATTTACACGCGTCGACACGTACGAAACGGAAACCTGACCAAATGCGCGCGCCTGCGTATTTTATAATCGCGGTCGATTATAAAATTGTCCACGCTCTTGTTTCGCGCACACGTTCGTTCCTCGTCCGGAACGACAAAAAAGTAGTTGATCGATAAATGGTCGAGCCAATGAGAAACGGGCACGTACCGTGTGTCGAATGATAAGACACATCGTGTGTTTTTCTTCTTTCTCTTTTCGAAAATTCGACGGCGATCACGCGGCGAACGAAGGACGCACGATTTCGAGAAGAGGCTCGAAGATTCTGCTGTCGTCAATGGATAAAGAAAAGAAACAACAACTAAAAAGTATACAAAAACTCCTTAAATCCATCTCGGATTCGTTGTCCTCGTTTTAGCGACATTTTCTAGACGTCGTTTTTCGAGGAGAATTTAAATGCAAACCGCTCGGTGGAAGCCCGAAAGACACTTACCAGCATCAATGACGCCGCGTGTCCTCCTCTCGCTTCGTACGTGTACGAAAAAATAACGCTGAATGAAATATGCATGAGACGGGTCGTAAGGTATAAAACGTGTACGTGTACGTTCATCCTACGAGTATAAATGTGTCTACACATATATACAGGGTGTTTTAAAAAAACATTTGCAACATAAATATCACAAATTCTTCGCGGAAAGTCCTTTACCGTTTTACGATACGAGGCTTCGTTCTCGAGATACCGCGTTTAACCCTTTCGGACCCAACCACGTATTACAACATTTTACGCGGGAAATTCAATTCGAACACTTTCCCATTTGAAATCTTACCGGTCAGCTGATCGCTTACTACATAGCGCGTTAAGTATTTATTGCTGCGCCCGCGCATCAGCTGTTCGCTCCACGTTCAAATATGGCGCCACCGGAAGGCGATCTTTTATCTTTAACATCTCAGGAACGGAGCTTCAGATTGCAAAACGATAAAGGACTTTTCGAATTCCTTTGTCGCGAAGATTAAGACAGAATAGTCTTTTTTGAAACACTCTGTATTCAATATCTCAATGAAAGTATGTCAAGCACGAGATACCTATTATCAACGTGTGTGTGTACCCGTTGAGCGTTTGTCGAGGAAAACGTTTCGCAGATGGGACGAGTACCTTAATCGAAATACACAAAGGAAATATTCGCTTTTTTCTTTTGTTTAATCGTTTTATTAGTGTTGTCACACTTTTGTCGTTTTCTTAAATGTAACAATTGTGACCGTAGTACTCGATCGAACGTTTCAAAAAATCAACAAGATTGCATTGTAACTCGTATACTGTTTGGGTGAAAAAATGCAGCACGCGTGCACCGTTCAATCGAACGCAATCAAAATCGAAACGCAGCGTATCGAACATAATATCGTTACAGATTCGAAGCTCGTTGGGTGACTTAAATACTTTAAATTCGCAAAGATGACACTTCATCTTCTTGTTCATTTCTTTTATCTCGCACCAGCCTTGTTTGTACTTCTGTTTCTTGAAATTGAGTCAATGATGTAGAAACAAGAAAAAAAAAAATATGGACAGCCTTTGTCGACGTTACAATAGAGATTCGTTAAAAAAAAAAAAGAAACGCAGAAAGAATATAAAAAAAGTATTCTATCACTCGTGTGTACCGAGCGGTCGCGATCGAAATCGAGCTAAACCTTTTCCTCGGCAACGACGCACCTTACAAACTGAATGTATCGCATGAATGAAACTGAACGTATGAGTCGTGTGTATGGGGTATGGTGTGCCTATAAGTCTAACTGTGCGAGTGACCAAGCACGTCCCTGGTCGTCGAACATTTAACCCGGGGACGCGCTCATACGCGTGTAGCTTTTTTCTTTCTGTATATATGTAACATATCACAGACTTCACTTGGAACTGAACACTGACGGAAGAGTTGCTGGGAAATCAGGGTGGCTCCCGTCCGGACAGATCTCGTTGGCGCTTTTTTCATTTCTTCGACACTTAAGAAAAACAAAAAAAAAGGAGCGCGCACTAACGACAGGGAACAAGACGCGCGACAGGACCGCGTGATCGCCCGGTTAACCGTAGGTAGACTCGACGATACTCGTTCGGTTCTCTAGTACCGAGGTCCACCACCTCCGACAGAGTTCCATTCACTGTACATACTGTATTCGAGTCACCAAGAGAGTGTATATATAAACGCGTTATTCGTTGGTCGTTTCACGAGGGCTCGCAACACTCCCACGAGAGATCGTGTTGTAGTCTTCTAAGCATGAGATCTAGTACGATTCTAGCGTCCTCGATGGAGTCGTGTTCCGCCACCTGGATCTCCCTTCGCAACACAGTCCTCGCCAGGGTTTTTAAGCTACTGCGAAAAGGATAACCGAGGAAGTGGGGAAACGCGACGCACGTGTCGATCACCGTCGTGTGCAACAATCTCAACGCTCTGAGATCGTTCTCCAGACCGTGACCTATCAATATGGTTTCCGCGTAAACGAAACTAGTCAAGTCCCTTTGAACGTCTCTGAGCGTTTTCGACGCCTTCGCCAGATCCGTCGCGGTGATGCCGCTGAATCTGGTGTTGTAATCGATCACTTCGTCGTCCGGTTTCACCAGTGTGTCGTACACGACGTTTCCGTCCATACCGATCACCGTCACCTTGGCCAACTCGAGGCCGCGTCGAGTGAAGCACATCTCGCAGTCGAGCGCGTACACGCCGTAGTTACCATCTTTGGGGACGATCCTAGCGGGCCTGGTGTGCACGTAACCTTCGAACGGACCGTTGTAGCCGGGTGCCAGACCTGTCCACACGTGCATCCTGGCAGTGGTGCAGCCTCGAGCCGTTTCACGGCCTCGACAGCACTCCCAGGTCTCGCTGTGAGCACCGTCGACGAGACCGCTTCGTAGTTTGCCCCAATGGTAGACGCACCGTTCCTCGTGCAAGTATTCGCCGCTCTCTCTGTTCACGTAGAAGCTCTTGTAACATCTGGCGCACCTACGCTCCGCCACCACCAGCTCGTACGGTTCGGGGGTGGAATACCTTCGGGAGCTTTCTTGAGAACCGGAAGCGAACGAGGACGACCAAGAGCAAGAGTAGTCCGTGGAGGATGAGGACGACGACTCGCCTATGTCCGAATACTTATCGCTGTCCGAGGAACTTTCTTGTTCCAGGTCGGAACTTTCTACGGAGCTTCCGCTACAATGTCCACTGTCTCCTTCGCTCTCCGCCATCGTCCAGGAACTGGTACCGCTTCCGGGTATGAACTCCTGCGCGTTCACGTCCAAATGATGATAGCTACGAATCCTATGGCCAATGGGATGTTGCAGGTAATTTATTATCACTGCGAAGCCCGGGAAGTAGCTGCACTCCACGGGGTAGCCAAGGTGAGCCAGCTGCTCCCCGGTGAGCGTGTATCTGCGGAGCAACGAGGCGAGGGCTGCGTCGCTCAGATGGTGCAGTTCCTTTCTCTGAAGACTCAGGAAGATTTCGTTCTTCCTCTCCTCGCGATGCGAGTCGCTCTGAGCTTTGTTTCTCCTGGAGCCAGCTTTGCGGCCCTCGCTGCCGCTTATCTCGACCGACTCGCAGTCTCTCGACGGGCTGTTAGGGTAATGCTGCTGGCGACGATGGTGATGCCGGTGATGCTCCTGCTGCGTTGGTTGCTCGTCCTCGTGCTCGTCGTCGCACAGCTCGCGACGTCGATCCCGCGGTGCTCTGGTGCGGTTCTTGCGCTGTCTTCTGCTCAGGATAGCTCGGTCCTCCTTCGCCGAGGATGACCCGGATGCCGTTGCCACCGTGGACGCGGTGCCGGACGTGGAAGTCGCCGAGGACGGTGACTCGCTCGACAACTTGCTTCTGCCTCCTGGCGACGTCTTCGCCGACGACTGCGTCTCGTGGTTCGCCTTACAGCCAGCGTACCGATCGGTCTCCCCGTGGTCCAGGAGCTCCTCTCTCAGAAGCAGGCCGCAATCTTTATGTTACACACAAAAACATATATGCGTCAGTTCATCGTCCGGCAGCCAATGAAATTTACAAAATGACAACCTACTTTATTAATGTTAGACTTTTACTACACACCACACGCGCATGCATCTCTACCTCTTTAACTTTCTAACACACGTTTTTTTTTGTTAGCAAAATTATCGTATCTGGTTCTTTAACGCGGAATAACATTTCTTTAATAAGAGAACTATGTTCAGTAGTCTTTGAATGATCAGAAGAATGTTTCGTTTAATGGTCTTATCGCGATCGTATCGGTTCAATGCCGTTCTTGACCCAGAGATCGTTGTTTCTACCTTGAACCGACGCGAACCGACTCGGAACGACTCCAGAGAGAACCGCGTCATTCTCCTTCTGGAAATTTACCGGTAATAATGAAATTTTCACGGTGCTATGGACAGAAAAAGGCGCGAGCAAGAAGGTACACGGTCGCTGCGAAAATCGTAGCGAGTGGTGCGCGATTAATTGCTTGAAAAAAGAAAAAAAAATGTGAAAGTGAAAGCTTGCCACGGACGCATGAAATAACGTATATGAATTTTTGTCTGTGCATAAGGATTCTTCGATACACGTTCAAAAAAATCAATCCCTCGCCTTACAATTTCCAACCCATCCCTCACAAAATAAAGCTCAAAAAATGAATTGTTACAGAAAGAAATATAAGGCGAGGAATTAAACTATTTACATGTTTAACTCTTGATAGAATTTCTGGAATTCCTCGTGAACTTAAGCGGAGAATTGCTCATCGTATTAAAAATCGATAGGCAATTCGAGCTATTCTCCGACTCGTTCAGAGAAATTATTCTACTTCTGTAAACAGATGACTAAGGATTTCATGGCGTTAAAAAGCACGATTAGCTCTAGATCTGTGAAAAAGCAGCGAGTCGTTTTAACGCTTCTTGTTTATTCAGCAGTACGCAACTTTCGCCAAACGCGTCACGGAAAGGGTCGCTTTCTTTTCTCCTGGCGACGTCTTCGCCGACGACTGCGTCTCGTGGTTCGCCTTACAGCCAGCGTACCGATCGGTCTCCCCGTGGTCCAGGAGCTCCTCTCTCAGAAGCAGGCCGCAATCTTTATGTTACACACAAAAACATATATGCGTCAGTTCATCGTCCGGCAGCCAATGAAATTTACAAAATGACAACCTACTTTATTAATGTTAGACTTTTACTACACACCACACGCGCATGCATCTCTACCTCTTTAACTTTCTAACACACGTTTTTTTTTGTTAGCAAAATTATCGTATCTGGTTCTTTAACGCGGAATAACATTTCTTTAATAAGAGAACTATGTTCAGTAGTCTTTGAATGATCAGAAGAATGTTTCGTTTAATGGTCTTATCGCGATCGTATCGGTTCAATGCCGTTCTTGACCCAGAGATCGTTGTTTCTACCTTGAACCGACGCGAACCGACTCGGAACGACTCCAGAGAGAACCGCGTCATTCTCCTTCTGGAAATTTACCGGTAATAATGAAATTTTCACGGTGCTATGGACAGAAAAAGGCGCGAGCAAGAAGGTACACGGTCGCTGCGAAAATCGTAGCGAGTGGTGCGCGATTAATTGCTTGAAAAAAGAAAAAAAAATGTGAAAGTGAAAGCTTGCCACGGACGCATGAAATAACGTATATGAATTTTTGTCTGTGCATAAGGATTCTTCGATACACGTTCAAAAAAATCAATCCCTCGCCTTACAATTTCCAACCCATCCCTCACAAAATAAAGCTCAAAAAATGAATTGTTACAGAAAGAAATATAAGGCGAGGAATTAAACTATTTACATGTTTAACTCTTGATAGAATTTCTGGAATTCCTCGTGAACTTAAGCGGAGAATTGCTCATCGTATTAAAAATCGATAGGCAATTCGAGCTATTCTCCGACTCGTTCAGAGAAATTATTCTACTTCTGTAAACAGATGACTAAGGATTTCATGGCGTTAAAAAGCACGATTAGCTCTAGATCTGTGAAAAAGCAGCGAGTCGTTTTAACGCTTCTTGTTTATTCAGCAGTACGCAACTTTCGCCAAACGCGTCACGGAAAGGGTCGCTTTCTTTTCTCCGCTTCGTCGCGGACGAATACGCGTTCGAGCAAGCCAAAACGCGGAGAAACTTTTTGGATAGGAAATTAGACTGTTTTTATGGCCTCGGAGGCTGTGAGAGGCAGCTACGATGATAAAAGTTTGCATGGGTTTAAAAACACTTGGGAGATTATGCTTCTATAAATCTTCCACGAAGATATCACTTTATTTGGGCCTAAAATCTTATCTAGAAGTATATCTCTGAGCAAACATCGGAACCTAAACTATCAGAAATCACGGGAACAATGTATCCGAAGATCACTAATTCTGCGCACCAAATTCAAGATCAACGAACTCGATTTTTAATCTCGACAAACACCATCGCTGACGAAATCGATGCAGTCACCCTGCAGTTACATCAGAAGTTACGTCAGCATCGCTGCAGGCAATTTTCCAAGGAAACACCGAGCAGGAAAAGCGGTTTTACCTCGACCTTGCGAATTCGTCAGATTTCCCATAATTTCCACGAACACCATATCGTGCACTATAAAGGCAAAGTTTCCCGGTCAGATAGGGTCCACACGCGGTCCCGAGAGAACAGGATCATGAAGATATCGCACACACGCACCGAGTGAAACGAAAGAAGGGACACAACACGAAGAAGAAGAGAGGACGAGGGAATCGGTTGTGTGTCTCGGATAACGGAACACGGTATCCCCGTTCGCAAGGAATGACCGGCTTCTTCGATATGTACCGTTGCGTCATTTAATGAAATCATCCGGTACGCGTTCGTGCGTCGATTCTTCGAGGAAATCCTGACCTCTCTGCAACCGGAGCTGAGTCTCAATTCTGGGAGATTGGACCTTTTTGGGAGATCGGGTTATAGGACTGTGGAGGTCTCTAAGCTTCTGGGACTTTTTGGGAGTTCATCTGATGTCGATTTTTGCTGGACTACTTAGATTATAAGACTGTGGAGGTCTCTAAGCTTTTGGGACTTTTTGGGAGGTCATCTGATGTCGATTCTTGTTAGACTCTACTGAGGTTCTTGACTGAGTCTAAATTTTCTCTAAACTACCTTTGAGAGTTCATCTTTTCTACCTTGGAATCTGGGATGTGATTAGAGGATGAATCTAAAGGAAACTCAAGTCCTCCAGAATTAGGGGTTTGGAAATTATGGAGATTTATGAGGATTCTGAACTTGAATCTAACAATTGAAAAATTTTTAATAGAGGAGATTTGAGAATCCAGTCATCAAATTAGTGAATGTAGAAGTTTGTCTCCCAAACAAGACAAGTCCGTCCCCCAAATGAGACAAGCAATTAATTATAATTTGCATGGTGTACGGAGACACCCTTCCGCAAGAAATTGATGGATCAGTAGTAAAGTTGTTCGCTAATTGGATTCGGTGGTCGAATCGGATAAGGCAACATCGTGGCCCCGCTTGCTAATCTTGTATACCGAATTATCGGCTTATGACGACGCTTCATCGCGAGTTAGAGCAATTTTCTTGTCGCTCGTGGTGTGGGCTTGATTTAAGGCCAGAGAATTTCCCACGTAGCGCTATTATTAGGCGGTTACAAGCAGCTTCACTGTTACGTTACGCCTCGCAAAGGTGATAGCGCATCAGCCAGTGGCCCCGAATTCTATATATCGTTTCTTCGAACAGAAATCGATACAAACGATGCTTTGACACGATTTTTCGTTTGGACTCTCTAATTTCGACGGAAATGATCTTTGCCGCGGTTAGTATTAAAAGAGATAAAGATATTGATATCTAATCGGAAGATATTATGCGAATTGGAGTCGAATTGATGCGTATTTATGCGAGTAAGATGTGTCACGTTTGCAGTGTGAGTGCATCACGAGACAACCAGTCATTAATACAGTAATTTAAAACAGGCATTTGTAATACTAATTCTATACACGTGTGATGTATAATGAAACAGAAATTAAAATTACAGAAACATCAAAAGAATTTATTTAACTTTTAAATAGAACTTATTTAACATTTTAAGTTAAATGAAACCTAATGAAGTACTTTCCCAAATGAAACAAAGTATTTTTCCTAAACACCTGGATTAAGATTAAATAAACTCATTTGAGTGACAACTCCATTATCTAAAATCTAGATCATCGATAACAATAAAATACAAGAAACAACAAGAGGGAAAAATTTCGAGAAATCGTGACTCGTTCAAGAGGCAAAGAAATCATTGAGACCAGTGGATTCTCCAGTTGTAGTATTTCCAAGAATACTCCCGGGGCTACCGTTTTTAAACTCCAGTTACTCATGCTTCTCGGCACGCACCTATGTCGTACACGTGGATTCGAGGTTAAACTCGTCGGGAGAAACGAAAGAAGAAGAGAAACTCGTTGGGAGAGAAGCTTGACGAAAATCTTCCATGGCCAACGAGTCACCCACGAACTCTGGCGAGATGAACCATTAAAGGACACCGTGGCCTAACGATTTTTATTCCCGTTCCTGGTGTGACGAATCAAATGATTTTGGGTTCATGGTCGGTGGTTTATTGGGGACAGGAATTTGGGGATTTGAGGAATTGGATATTTGGGGATGTGGGGATTTGGGGATTTGAGGAGTTGGATATTTGGGGATTGGGGGATGTGGGAATTTGGGGATTTGGAGATTGGAAAATGTGAGATTTTGGGGATTTAGGGATTGGGAGATGTGAGAATTTGGGGATTTGAGGAGTTGGATATTTGGGGATTGGAGGATGTGGGAATTTGGGGATTTGGAGATTGGAAAATGTGAGATTTTGGGGATTTAGGGATTGGGAGATGTGAGAATTTGGAGATTTGAGGAGTTGGATATTTGGGGATTGGGGGATGTGGGAATTTGGGGATTTGGAGATTGGAAAATGTGAGAATTTGGGGATTTAGGGATTGGGAGATGTGGGAATTTGGTGATTTAGGGATTGGAAAATGTGAGAATTTGGGGATGTGGAGATTTAGGGATTGGTAGATATGTGAATTTAGACATTGAGGAATGTCGAGATATGAGAATTTGGGCATTTGGAGATTTGGGGATGTGAGAATTCAAGGATTTAAGGATTGGTAGATGTAAGAATTTGGAGATATAAGAATTTGAGGATTTGGAAATTTGGAGATGTGAGAATTTGGAGATTTAGATATTTGGACACATGAGGATTTGAAGATTTAAGTATTTAAAGATATGAGAATTAGAAGATGTTGCACTCTGTTCAGCTGTTGGCAGATAGCTAAAATGTTCCCTTCAAAAATTCTTCTGAAGCTACTCTCCTATTAATTTCCTCTCTGTTTAAACACCTCCCTGATCTAATTAAAAACAACCTATTTCATACCGAATGAGTCACCTTCCAAATCGAATGACTTTACAATTTGCTAATCCACCAACTTACGAATCCACACATTCATAAAACTCTCCGGAAAATTTCGCATTAATTCAGTTTCCATAATCCCCCCATATTCCACCAATCACTTCCCCGAGAATAAAAAAGAAAACGTCCGATTTTCCTATCAGGACATAAAATTATCACTTTTCTCGCGCAACATCAAGCATCGTTGCGTTTCCAAAATAAATCTAAGTCGTCAGAGGCCTTTGAGCTTTGTTATAACATTGCGCAACGTGTACAGATAATCGAAATTCTTCATAACTACGACGACACCGCTTTCTTTTTTTCCGTCGATAATGAGAATCGATCCAGACGATAAATCATTCTTTGTGTTCGATAAGCGAGCGCCATCGACGCCGTTTTCCGGAATAATTATGTGAGCAACGTACCTTCGGCACAGCTTGCGAGGAATTTGCCGTTGCTGGAGAAATTCATGTCGAGGACGGAGGCTGTGTGGCCCTTCAAAGCGCCCACCATCCACGAATGAGTGAACTCCTGTTGGGTTTCCCGCCTTTTTTTGTTCTTCGCGCGCTTGTTGCCGGCCGTACCGGAAGCGGATCTCGCAGAGTCCCTCGGATCTTGGAACTTCACTTTTTCCGATTCTGTGACATCTGCAACACAAATGAGAAATTTTGTTTACACTTTTTTCTCAAGACTTTCCTGCTCTTATCGATCTGAATTAATTACTACAGTTTCCTTTTGGAAAGTCCCGCTATAACTGAGACTTTAAAAGGTCTAAATCGAAGGCTATTTTTCTTAAAAAAAAAAAAAAGTTGAATAAAGGGAAAACATATTTCACTTTTTCCACCGAGAACCTTGTACTCATTCCCGATTTTGAAAAAAGAGGAGAAAAAGGAACGAGACCTTACCAAACTAAATTGACGTAGCTTCTGTTTTCGTTGAGATCAGAGATTTTTCTCGTATCGCGAACCTTCACAATTGACGGACCGTGACGCTAATCGTTCGCACTTTATCAGCGAAAACGAAAGCAAAACAAAGAGAGCGAGACGAAGCACATACGAACGCACGTGAAACGTACTCGTGGAGACTCGAGAAGTGTCGCACTTTGTGTTCAAACTTTCGCTGTGTCGATGCTACCGATGTTGGATGTGTACTAAATGTAAGTAGAGCGACGTTGGCCCTTTTAAATCCTTTGACCTGAATACTGAAGGTACCATTAGTCATAGGACCTGTGGCCAAATTACCCTACGGTTTACCCCACTCTGTTGTAATTTGCAGTGCTCGTACATCTTAAGGTAAATAAACAATGAGTCATGGTAGCCCTTTAGACTACTTAATTTGCTAATGAACAAATTTTTTTAGGAATTCAGAAAAATTGTCAAGATTTTATTTTATAATTTCTGCACTTATTCTTGGGGGTTCAAACTTTTGAATTTGTAGATTTTACAAGTTTGCAAGTCTAAATTAGACAATTCGCAAATGTTCAAATATTTGAATTAGCTAATTCCTGAATGATCAAAGCATTAAATTGCAACTTTCAGAAATTCAAATTTCAGAATTTTCAAATTTTTAAATTTCAGAATTTTCAAATTTTTAAATTTCTCAATTTCCAAATTCCCAAATTTCCCAATTTCCAAATCCCAAATTTTCCAAATTCCAAATCCCAAATTTTCCAAATTCCAAAATTTCCAAATTCCAATATTTCCAAATTCCAAA